AACCTTTTTTGTTGTTATATACCTGGATGACTGAGAAAACAAACTTTGTGTTTTTGAAACCATTAGTGAAAAGGCCAGACTTCAGGGGTATCTGAGGCAGGCTTGAAACACAAGAGTCAGGGTGGCTTCTGGGTAATACCAGATGGCTAGGCCTCAGACTGACGAGCCTCTTGGATGAGGGGCGAAACGTTTCTTTTTAACAAAAAAACGAAGTCCAGATGACATGATTCAACCTTTTTTGTTGTTATACACCTGGATGACTGAGAAAACAAACTTTGTGTTACTGTAATATATTGTTTTTAGTACTCGAGTTATAGTGGAGTGACACCTCACATCTGAATATTCCCCAGGTAAAACTCCAGAGAAGGTTGGTCCTGTGGGTGAAGCTTTGCTGTCTGAGGTCAGCACGCTGTTCAAGATGTTGATGACTCAGAAGGCCGACACACATCCAGGCCCTCGTCCCGATGTCCTGTACAGACTGTCAGCAGCTTACCACCACTCTCTGGGCTTGGATACCACCACAGCCGCTGCAGGAAACCCACCAAAGAATTGTGGAGAAAAAAGGGCAACTCCAGCTACGTCTTCACCATTTTATCATTAATGGACCCTTCATCAAAACAGCATTGGCAAAGACTGACATGCAGATGACAAGAATGCTTGGGCAACTAAAAGGAATTATGCAATATAACCAGAATTTACATCTTTTGCAGCTGTAAACAAAAAGATTAGATTAAAAAGCTATGTAGTTTTGTTTTAATGAGAGAAAGCAATAAAAGCTGAAGATATGCTATATTCAGATGGTTACATCTAAGGCTCCTTTACACAAGATGAGGAATTTTCTGTATCCATGACCTACATGACATGATGAGAGGTGTTTAGTTGTTTGCAGTCAGCAATTCACTGTATGTCTCTTTATTTTACTCACTGGAGTTCTAAGATCACTGATCATGGCAAAACTGAGGGTGTCAACATCAGTGATCAAAAAATTAAATTATATATCCAGGTATTTTGTGCTACCACCTCTCTTCTTTCGGCTTCTTGCCACAGTGACTCGCAGTGGAGGCTGTCCACAGCAGGTGCGAGCCGACCCAGGACGTATTACGAGTTTATTCTTGTAATATTATGACTTTATTCTCGTACGACTTAATTCTCAGAATTTTATGACTTTTTTTTGGTTGTAATTTTTTTTTTTGTTTTTCCTTACCGTGGTCCTACATCTCCGTTGTAATATGACGGAGCTAAATGGAGCAAAAGCTGAAAAAGATTTTCCTTGAGACCAAAAGGAAGTGTTTCTGTCCCATTTAAAATGACTCCAAGAGCAATGACACAAACTCTGCAGCCATATTTAAAGTCATTGCTGCTTTAAGTTCCCTGACTGTTGTTTAACTTGTGGTTTCTTTGTTTTTCCTCAACAAACAGCACTTTGTACACAAAAAATATTTTTTGTTATATGTATATTTTTTTTATATTCCCTGAATGAAACCTAACTTTTGTAAAAATTGCAATACAATGCAAATCACATTTAAACTTTGTTTAGTTAAAAATTAAAATGTAAAAAATAAATTAATAAATAACTAACATCTTTACTTAAAGTTTCAGTACATAATCACTGAAACAGATTCTGTTTTTTTACACAATCCATATATTAATTTGACATTTTATCCATAAAATGTCTGTATGTTTGTCTCTTTCAGTCAAGGTGATTTGTTTTTTTCACCTCTCCTCTGTGGATTATTCCAGACATTTGCATTTGAGTTTAATTTAGTCTTCCACAGCAGCATAATTCACAATAAACAATTTTATTGTTATTATTACAGATGTTTTAAGAACAAAATCTCTCCATAACATTTTATGTTGGTGCTGAATGATCTGCTGCCTCTTGTGAGCAAAGCTCCCTGCGATACAACATAACTGTAATTCTGTTAGTGAGAAAAATCATACACATAAATAACTTTTTTTTTTTTTTTTTAACAAAACATTTAAATACATTAAAAATCCAGAAAAAATAAAAGTTAAATGTCTACATTTTGACAGATGTTTTGACATTTAGGAACAAATCAGTAAAAGGTGACAAAACTTACAAAACAGTTTGATTATTAGATAAAAACTGTTTTATTAAAACAATTTTATCAGTTTATAACTGCTTTTTTCAACTTTCTGTTTACTTTAAATTAATTTTAAGACTATTCTTTAAATTGTTTGGTTTGCTGAGTTTGTGAAAAACTCTGCAGGAGTTCATTCCCCCTGTTTTCCAGTTCAGCCTGTGCAAACAGCAGAAGAGCTCCGAGCTCATATCAGCATTCAGGGATGTCTGAAGCCCCACGCCACCGGTACCAGGGGCAGAACTGCACTTCCTGTTTTCTACTTCCATTAACGTGAGCTCTCTTAGTTAAAGTGGTATCAACAGAAACATCAGAAATTCATAAAAAAAAAAAAAACATCTCTACGATCACCAAACACATTTAACCCCACAAGCAGATAAATCAGTAAGTTCACAAAATGACATAAATGTAAATCTCGATCTCAGTTGTTTATTATTTGTTTATTTGTCATATGCATGTTAACACATGGTCAACAATGCAATGAAATGTTCATACAATAAAATTACAAAATAAAGTACCAAAAATGAAAAGAAATATAATATTTACAAGGTCCAAAAGAAATATAGTAAAGAACATGGTAAAATATAACGGTGCAAATAGGATTAATTAGTATGAACAAGTATTTCACAGGTAATAATATTGCTTAAATGTACATGGTATATAATGCACATATCATATACTACACAGGTTGTGTGACAGGTTATGGCACATGTAGTGAGTAACATGGAGAAGAACTGAATTATGATGGTAAGGTAGTGACATTCATGATACAGCCACGTAGTGCAGCAGCAATAAACTTATTGTCACAGATGTGGCTTAGTGCAATGTTATTGTCAAGAGTTCAGTAATCTGACAGCTTGTGGGTAATAAGTATCTTTGAGTGTTTTTGTGTGTCTTTGTTCAACCCACAGCCTCTACATACACACGCAGCAGGTCTGAGATATCACAGATTACAAAAATATATGTCTCATCACAATCCAACCAGGATTGTTTAAACCAGCTGGAAAAAAACACCAGAATTATCACTCACATATGATAAACATAATATAACAGATTTTGTTTTGATTTTGGATATTAAATCCACCAGAATCTTCCAGTGTGCTTTTCAGCATATCCCTGACCAAATCCATCCTTTTTGATCCAACTGCATGGAGCTGATTGGACAAAAGCAAATGTCACTCAGTCTGTCACACATCTTCGTCTTCTTGCAGTTGACGATTGTTGGGACTGAAGGTTAAAGTGTTGATATTGGGTTGGTTCTACTGGATCTAGAGATTTGAATGTGAGGTCATTTGTGTTTCTGCCAAAACACACAAGAGTTTTAGCTCCGCGTAAAGCTGGTGGACACACGAGAGGCTAATATATATATGCACAGACTCAGTCCATCGTGCATGAATGCAGAACAAAGTTAGGAAGATGTTTCTGACTAAATGGCATGAAAATTAATGTTTTGTTTTTTTTTTACAGCAGAAAATGCATTTGAGCTCATTTAAAGACTATGATCATGTGAAAAGCATGTGTGTTGTGTTGTCCCTCAGTTCCTTGCTTTAAAAAACAAAACAGCTTTGTCGGAGCACAATCAGTGCCATAAAATGTAAAAAAGCAAATGTGTAAATATGTTGTGAAGGCTTCTCAAAGCTTTTGTAAAATGGGAATTTAATGTTTCGTTTAATGTGGTATTTATGAATAAATGTGAAGGTAATTTGAAACATTCAAAAATAAGTCATGCTAGAGTCAGATTCAGAGAGATTTATTTGTCATACACACCTCATGTGGTACATGTGGTGGAACAAGATTATTTACACAGGGTCCCAGTTACATCCAACAATAAAATGTAAAAGAAAAACAGCAATAAGATCTAAGATATGAACAAGTAATGTTAGACATGTACACAAAGATATTTGTTGCATGAAAAACTTGAAAAAAATGTCAACTTTCATGGATGGTTCCAAATTGTGCTAAACTGTGTCGTCCTAGTTATACTTTTATTTAAACCTCCAACTTTGCTCTATTTTAAATCAGCAGCATTAATCTTTCCACACACAATGTCGACATGAGGGTTTGTGGTCTCCAAGAGTTTTTATTTGTCTTCATTATATTTTAAGGGGGTTATATACCAGTAGTATATAATGAAAAATAACTTCAGGTGTGGGATTTTTTTTCTGTGTTCCATCCTCATTTTCTTTGAAATAATAGCTGCGGCTGTGACGCTGATAAAATATCTCGAATGTTAGCTTGATTTTGATACATTTATGATTTAAACAGAGTTTGTAAATGCTGAGAACCACTCAGTTGTATTTGGGCATGTTAGTTTGGATCAAGGAGTTCAAACAAACCTTGTTGGAGTTTAACAAGTAAGAAGCCAAACTGTTGAAGTAGGTGCAACATTAAAAATATTTTTTCTCTCCCTCAGCTGCAGAACAAACTGGTAGGAAAGGGCCATAAAATTGGAAGCCTTTAACACATAACTAATAATAAAAAAATAATTTATTATTATCTTTCAACTCCCTTCTACAGGCGTTATCACAAAAAGCAAACTCGCTCAGATGTTCAGTGATTATTTTTACACCACATGCCCTTCCTGACACAACCTGGGCTCAAGCCCTAACACAAAAAAGAAAGGTGATGTTTTTTTTCTGCTGCTCAGTTCTGTAATCAAGTTTTGTTCTTATCACATAGAATTAAATCAGTCTGATCTTTAATCCCATCTCAAGGTGCTTTTATTGTTTGACGTAAATCCATAAAAACATAGAAAATATCACATCAGAATACTCCAAGCACCAAGCGTATCCAGATTTCTGAGTGTTCAGTAAAATCTGCAAACAGCTTCAGAAGCAGGAAACTTCAGTCCAATTGTTCTTTGTCAGCACAGTCAGCCAACGGAGCTCTTATTTACCTTAACCCTTGTTGTTCTCAGTAAAAAAAAACTACTGCAGTTGTAGGTTTCAAGGTATTGTTTTCCATATCTAGTGTAAGTTTGTCTTTGCTTTAAAGTTTGCCTCCATATTTTGTGATTTGGTTATTTTACTTATTGTTTTGTTTTAAATGGGAACATTTTAAAGTATTTCACTTCCTGTCAAGTCCTTGTTTTTTCTCCTTTCACTTGAAGTAATTACTTGACTCTGAGGACATCAAACATATACTGTGCATTTCATGGTATACTGTATTAGGGTTATCTCCTCTACCAGGTCTTGTGTCTCTGCTGGAGAGAAGGAGATGCCAGCGTTTTCACCTTCCACAAGAAGAAAGGTGACAGAGGTGTTTGCAACAACGACTGTAGCATATATCTGCTCTTAGTCTTGAACCAGCCCCACATCCTCACCAGTATTGTCTGTCCAGGATCACAATAAGGATTCAGATGTGATAGATCCACAGACGACATGGTGTTGGAAGTGAGACAACTGCTGGGAACAAAGAAAGCCTCTCTTGGATGCCTTCCAACTCTTTTGAGCACCGTGGTGTCCTTTCACAGCTACATGAAAGGGACTGTCAGCTGTGATGGAGTTACCTCTGAGTCATTCGTCATCCACAGTGGAGTTAAGCAGGGCTGTGTTCTTGTCCTCAACCTATTTGACATATTTTTTGCTGACATTCTCAGACATACCTTTGGCCAGTCCACTGAAGGCATCTACATTCACACTAAATGTGATGGGAAGCTTGCACTGGGCCGTTGTGATGTCAGGCATTTTCAACCTCCTGTTTGGCAACGTTTAACAG